CCATCCCGCCAAGAATTTTGGTCTAATATGCTAATTTTAAGTGATTTGTCCAGGTGTGCCTCCACGTCAGCATCCATCTCAGCCAAAAATGGCCACGTCAGACACAGAGGAAAGGCTGATGAACGGGACGTTAAATGATAACGGAAATGTTAAGAGGAGGGCTGATTTGCCACTGCAGGGGAGTTGAGGGGCTGATTTGCGCGTGAAGTGGGTTGAGGGGGTGATTTGCCACCACTTGTTGAGTTTAGGGGCTGATCTGCACCTTTTGCCTATTTTCAATCTCTCTTAAAGAGATTTAGAGGAATTGGGTTTATCCATTTATTTTTTTAATTTTTGTTAAAAATAAATATATAAATATATTTTATATCAATTATTTTTTAATTAATAAATTTTAAATATTTTATTTTATTTTTCAAAAATTATTAATTAAATAAAATTTAAAAATCTTTATTTTTATTTATTCAAACGAAATTAATTTGAATTATTTCCTTCTCTTCACTTTTCTCTCCCTCCCCTCCCCTTTACTAATTTTTATTCGAATAAACGCTTACGTTTTGGAAAATTATTTGAAAATATTCTACATCCAATTGCATTTTGAATCAAAACAGCGGCACTGGGGAACTAATAAAGAACAGAGAAAGACGGAATTACCAAAGCAGTACTTGGAAACACTGATGAATAGAAAGCGTATTTAGCAAAAGAGGGGAACAAATATATTAATAAATAGATATCAAACGAAATACATGTCGTTTCAGAAAAACAAGAGGGAAATGTATATGGTAATTAAAGAGGCAACCTAATTTTTTCTTCCCTTATTTCGTTTACAAGAAACTACTACACAACCATCATCTGCAGCTTCAGCCTTCTGCTTGGTTTTTGGTTCATCAGTTGACGCATCAACTACATTTGAAATTGGCCCTGGACTTTGGCAAATCTACCATCATGTTTGTTGTATTATCCTCACCCATGCCATCATTTTCGTAATCATCATCCTCATCCTCATCCTCATCCTCCTCATTAAACTAGAATAAGGAAGGAATATAAAATAAGAAACATAAATTTAAGGCAAACAAAATCATTTCGAAACTATAAACTTTTGCCCACAGCAAGTTTTCATAGACTGTTAGCTTCTCCATTACATTTTGGGAACAAAAACAAAGAAACGTCATGATCTTTTGTGTTGCAGTGCCTCAATATACCATGTAATAATTAAAATCCACAAGCTCCCAGAAATGGATTTACTGTTTAATCAATATCAAAATTGCAAGTAGTGAAAACACAGCCAAAAGTCGAAACATATAAAAGGATAAACCAGTAGAGATTGTCTTCATCAACAGGTAGTCAACACAATTCTCTAAGCAGAGTTTGAACCAAAAATTACCTGTCTGAAGTGGGTAACTGGTGGACGATTGGCTGCCCTCATTTTTTCAATAGACTGATAATTACCTTCCAAACATTCTTCATGCATAATCATCAACTTTTCTGCTACCTACAGAGGGTTTTAGAAAATCTATTATCCTTCATGAAGAAAAGACGCTAAAAACAAAAACCTGAACCCCTTCCAAAACTAGTTGCAAACTTGCAAAGTTAGCAGGACTAGATAGAATAAAACTGTACAATAGAAAAACTGAGATGCAATCACCATATGCATGAATTTAACTTTGAGATTGGCTCTGAACCTAAAATCCCGAGTTCATTATCAAACGGTCGAAACCAAGATAGTTCTACAAGTTATATATGTTCCTCCCTGAAATAATTCATTCAGAAAATCACGACTACAAAAAGCATTCTAGTTATTCCTAGGAATCTGGTCTACTGCAATGATGTCTGAAAAGCATCCCTATAAATCAAAAATCAGAACTGCCGAGGATATACCTATAATTCATCGTAAAAGCTCAAGATGAACAGAAAAATCAATACCATACAAAACTAGAAATTGTAGTTCAATTCAATTCCTTGATAACCCTTGGAAACAAGGTCTCCCTATTCTTGAATACAATTACTTGCTGTTAAAGTTAAGAAGGCAACCCTTCATTTATCAACAAGCCTTAAACCAATCTAAAGAAGAAATAATGCTGCCATCCTCAGCCATCCTCAGCCATTAATATACTACATGGTAGGTACTATGGGTATTACCTCCTCGATGCTGCCATCCTCAGCCATTGTATTCAAAGAAAGTAGAGATTCCTCAAGGATCATTTCTAGATCATCAATGTAAAGAGGCTCTGAAAAGAATGTAATTCCCAAAATTGAATCAAACCGAAGAAAAAAAGAAAATTGAACTAAGAAATCATGAGTAAAGAATTAGAAAATTCGGGCAATCGAAATTTCACAAAATCAAAACAAAAGTTGGCAAATTTAATCATACACGAGCAGAACTCAAACTTATTCCAGAAATACAGCTAAAAAAAAAAAAGGAATGGAAAAGGAAGAATTATGGGGGAAAAGCGACCACCTTTGAGCTGTTAAAGAAGGAGAAGACATCGAAGAGGAGGAGCTCAGCCCCACTCGTTTTC